CTTCCTGTTACTGACGTCATTAGCTCAGCCAAACCCGCTCATTCGGATAGGATGAGGGCAGAATCAGGCAACCGAAATTGCCAGCGAATCAGCTCGTGGGTTACGTAGTTACTGGGAAAATAGGCTAAGTTTGCAGCGGGGTTTAGTGACTCGGTAAGTGAATATGCTTCCCAGCAATAGAAAAGCATTTGGGATGGAGCCATAATTCGCAAGAACCTCTTGAAATACTGGAACACTGCAGACTGGATATATGCGCGGTAGATATTCACCTTAAGCATCTTAGAAGTAATTTTGGCTTTTGCACGGGGAATGGAATGAAAAGGAAATAGGTTTCAATCAAGAAGAAACAGGGTCAGACGTACAGCTGTCCACCGCAATTTTTGTCACTGAGAATGCTTAATCTTTTATTCTATGCACCTTACATATAACCAAGAGGATTAATTCCTGATTAGACCTACTCAACGAAGCGTTAAATTATCATACTAGTAGACTGAGGACTTTTGGGAAAGCGAGGTAGTCCTATGTAACTGCTAGGTTCAAGGAAGCCTAAATGAAGCGTGCAAGTGAGAATGTCAGACCGATGAACTGTCGCTATCCCCCATGGCTTGAGGAATGACAGTCCAACTCAGTTGATAGTGCGGGCTAAGTCCTAAGAAGGAATCGCAAGTTTTTATAGATCAGCAGTGTTTCCGTCATTCAGACGCAATCTACAGTTGGCCTGCTTAAGGCACCATTCAAGTTATCGGCAGATGACTGCGAACCGATATGAGCAGGATTGCCACTTGTCTTATATGATTCCGAATGTCGGGGATGTTATAAATATACATACCTTTATGTACATCTGTCTATTAAATTTAGAATCGACAAAGATCATGCTACAGTTAATGAATAGACGTCTAAATTCGGGTTCAGGTCCGAAAACTTTTTTTTTCATTCAACTTAGCACATAGACTACGTTCGCTATGTGAACATAAATGATATTTCCGTAAATGTCGTGCAAGCTAGAAAAGAGACGAGGTATTCGGTGCAGCAGCCATGGTTTAGTACCGCAGAGTTTGTGTCTCAAATCCAACTGTAAACTTGTCCAAAGGAATGGGTTCTGAAAACAAATAGGAGCTTCTGAACGCACTTGTCCGTTAATTTTCTAAGACAGTAAAATACCACACATTCTCACACAGCTTCGTGCTACGGTTAAGCTGCATGTGCTTGTTAAAATACTTCAGCAACTTTGGAAAAATATTTTTGATTTACGGCCCTTAACTCACCTGGGTGAATTAAATAATCCTCTTCAAGTAGGAAGAATTAACCAGAATAGGCCCTCACAGTAACCGTAAAAATAGATGTGCAGTTGACGAGGAGGTTTAAAGTCACGCGGTAAAAGGAGCACTTACCTTTATCTGAGCGTTATCTCTGTCGAGGATGAAAATCTCCCCAGAGCGCTGGTTGACTGCAAGTCCTGTGGGCCATACTTCCCTGCTATCTGTTGGTGACGAGGCCTGAAATTCACGCTGAAGTTTCAGTTTTCGAGCTGGCTCTTCGGAATTCCTATCACATGCCGGTGTCTCCGCGTCCTCGCTATCCAGCCTGCTACTATTTTTGTCCGACAACTGAAACTTCTCTACCATCCTGTGAGCAGGCAAGGGCCTACAGGACCAAGAAAAGCATGAATAACATTACGCAAGTAGAGGAAGGTCCAAAACACCTTTCCTACTCCATTGGTAAAGGGGATTTGCATTTGCTGGTGACAGACCCGACCCGAATTTATGGCTGTCCGGAAATTGTGCACAGAGGTAATAACTGTGCCTACACTGAGTCAACACCCGAATTGTCAAATTTAGTGTCCCGGAACAGAGTGAATCAGATGTCGATATAAACAGGGTATGACACCGGCAAACAGGTGGCCTTGCGGGAAATTGCAGAGAGATCAGAACTATGCACATATGTGCTTTGCCGATCTAGTAGAGGAACAATTAAGTGCCGTTTTGCCCATTAGCTCACAACCTGAACCCGCCAGACCGTCACATAGTGACTATGATAACATGATTAAATGGAGCTAACAAATCAATTTATCAGCATAGTCACTATATGACGGTCTGGCGGGTTTACGTTCTGAGCTCCTGGGCAAAGCGTAACTTAATTGTTCCTCTAATAGATCGGCGAAGCACATATATTCATCATATTCCCGATCTCAACTGAGGAAGCAAGGAGTCCGTGGTAGAGTATTGAACTCAGTGACCAAAGGTCCCGGGTTCAAATATCAGGGGTTCCAACCCTTGAGATTGGGTATGACTAGCTGATGCCGGCCAACAAGCCGGAAATGGCCATTCCGGTCTCCCTTTGCTTTGTCGGATCCATTTCATCTGATCAGAATTAGGCTAAAGCTTAGCTTAGGGCTAGGGTTAGGATTAAGAACTGGGAAAGGTTTAACGTCATGGTTAGCGTAAGAACGCGGGAATAGGTACACTTCCTGCAATTCTTGTGCGAAGGAGGCTTCCTGTTCCCATGCCTTACACTGAACAGTACGAAATATATACCGAGGATCCAGTGCTTATCGAAAGCAAGGGAGAATGGTTCCATTGTTTTCGTGGAAAACGTCGTAACATCGAGCTTGTGTTTTACGAGTAAACATGTCCTTGTCAACCAAAATTACAAAAAAAGCAGCAAAATGGAGAATGCGACTCCAAAGAAGAAGGGTTTTCCTGTGTAGATGTCACGAAGACTGTTGGGTACGACATGTTGTGTCTCAATTGTGGGCGACAGACGTGATCAGCTTCGGCTCGGGCCTGGCACTACTGAGGTAATGAAAACACAAGTTCGAGCGAAATAAAAGTACATGCAGTCTGGAAATTACCCTGTTATTGAGGGCACGTCACAAAAATGAGTGAATTTAAACAGATATACTGAAATGAGGACAGTCCTGCTTTTTCCAGCTAAGGCTTGTGAAAGAGTTAAGCAAAAATACAAAGGACATTCCTATGATATAACATGGGGTTGGTTGTGATCAAAATACTTAGAGTACAGCGGGAGTCTGTAAACGGTGTAATACCAGCAGGCGGTTGTTAATGCAAAAACATGGTCCGTGAGGGTTCTGGCATTAGAAGTGTTCTTTCTCGCAAAAGCACATAGTTCTACCATCATTCGAATGCTTATTTCCTTTACGTTTTTTTACTATTTTAGAATCTGTAGTTTATCTTCATAATAAGACCCTAGAGTATTTGAATTGGGATGAGTTGAAGTCGCGGATTACTCATGGAATTGACACTAAGTCACGCTTGCTTACTCTGTACCTTTATGACAAACCATTTCCTCAAGCGTCTGATCTTTTGTGGGCCTTATGGTATAACAAACATATGCAAAATCTGTAATGGGCTATATTTTCAGTTGTTTTCTTAAAAGGCCCGATTATGTTTTTCTTCCCGTAAGACTAAAGCTGAACCTCTTGACAGTAATGATTGTTTTGACTATAGCAGCCTTCTTAATGCGCACAGTAATTGTCATCATTTTAGATTTTAAATTAAGGTCGTCCGACAAATACCCACTCTCCTATGTTAAGTTATTTCAGAGTACAAAGCTTATGGTGAAAAAAAACTAGTCAACAAAAGTACTGTAAACAGAAAGTCCGCAAACAAGACATCTTATAGGCATCAACTAGCCACCTGGGTCCGCATTCTTTATCGACGAATGAACATTTAAAAAAAATTTGCCAAGGTATGCAGCTTATCTGACTAGCAGTTGTAAGAGGGCAGAAAACAGAAAAAAATTAAGCAAACCATAAAACCACTTATAACACGCAATCACAGCCTGCATGCATCCCTGATATTAATCATTTTGGAGAGCATAGTAATTAGAAACGATTTCGCTTTTAAAGGCAAGTATTTTAGTACGGTGAGCACGGCTAAAATATTTTATCGTACACGGCCTATAAAAACATATATCATCACTAACAGGCAGGCCGTAATGAAAGAGCTGGAAGCAACGGCGTGAATTTTAGATTGGCAATAATATATGTTTACGTCCTTCACTATTAAAAAGAGCCGTCCAGAATACCATCTAGAAGTCAGATACGAATAGAGGAGAAGTATAAAAGAGTGTCATATGGCTAAAACAGAAATTACTGCAAATGATGGAAGATTACTCCGGGTACGAATAACTGAATACACAACAGCAATGCGAAAAAATGACCGGAACTCCTCTAGTTACAGCCCCTCCCACCCCACCTGACTAAACCAAAGAGGTTGAATTCCTCAGACAATGCAGCAGTCGCACGACGTACGAATTTTCTGGGTCACGTACCTAGAGCAAAGTGTACCTACACAAATTTTGCAAAATTCTGTGGTCTTTAAATTTTATGAAGAGAAATCCTTCATTACGAAATATTAAGAAGATTAAATGGGTATTCTGAAAACGAAATAGTGGTAGCCGTTCTGTGTACTCTGTCCTTCCAAATGGTCATCCATCTAGGCCTAGGACAGCTTAATATCCTTCAATGCCGTTATCACATAATACGCTCAGCAATTCTACTTTGATTCCACCATGCAAGGCTACTGCTTATGCAATCATGCGCATGTCATAAGCAAACGAAGAAGGTATTATAGCGTTATAATTTTATGCTTCATGGTAATCACTAAACTTATTAATGAAAAGTTAATTCGATGATCTCGGCAGGTGATCGTATTGCTTACATTTATACCTCAAGTTTGAGGCAGTATTCCTATTGCAAAGGCCCATATGGATGAAAGTCTAGACGAAAACAATTGCATAGCATCATAAAAATTACTATTGGGCCACTACTATAACAAATTAAGTAGGCAAAAAAACTTACGCAAGGAAAACTCGTAGAAGTTGCTGATCGAGGGGAGGCTCAGGTTCGAGGTTCGGTCCTGGCGGATGAGAGACCTGCGTAGGTATCTGTATGTTCTTTCTGGGCCAAAAACTAAAATCTTCAATAGAGGAGGATGCAGGTGACGGCGGTTTAGGCTCTGGCGTAACATGTCCCACAGTCTTTACTTTCTCCGAAGCTCTCGGCGTCTGCCCTGTGAACTGTTCCTCGAAGTCAAGTCGTCCGAGGAAAGTGTTCAACAAGGCTGCCCGGTTCGCCGTTTTTGGGTCTGTGACCTCGTCCGCCGACAGAAGAGAATAGTCAACCATCGGTAAGGTGTAGCGTGGCCAGATAACTGCTGCAGACATCAATATTAGGGGACACAACAGTGGTAGAAATGATCAGTCACACAGTCTTAAACAAGACTTTTTAAAATCAATCAGTATACTAACCAAAGTTTTTTAACGTGCCTTTTTATCATCCTTAAATACTTCGATTGATTTAAACAACACTAGGTTACCTAACCCATGCAAAGTCATGATCAAAATTTGCTTTGGTAGTTTAGCGTATATTTGGTTTCGTTATTTTAATCTGCTGAGTGGATTTTATACTCAGAAAGTCCTTTGTTAAGTAAAACTGCATGTTTAGTTTAGTTCATTTTAGGGTAACGGTCAGGATTTTGGGTAAATCGGAGGTTGCCGGATATGGAAGAAATTTATTGTGCTAAAGAACAGAAACCCAGAACCAATTTTTTGTGTGCTTACTGCTTAAGAAAACGTCAATATAAACAAGTAGACTTTAAAATGTATCCCTTCCAGAACCGGAACACCTAGTCGTTAGTTGATGAAAATGAGTTGCAGGCAAGTATAAGGAATAGCATTCCCTCTCAGAAACAAGAAAACATTTCAGTTGGAAAATATTTTTTGCCAGTTTCTGAAGTTTTTTGCCCCAAAAATAGTTTTTGCTGCATTTTCTTCTAACGCATGGAACATTTTGGACTGTAAATGAAAATGCATACGTGGACACAGAAAACATGGCGAACAGAATCTACATTTAGGGGAGAAAGATGTAAACACTGAAACTCGTGAAAAATTCGCCAGAAGTTGAAGGGTGATCTGAAACTGATTGTAATCCAATACTTAAGGTATCTATAAAGAAATTTAACTGAGGAATCGTTCTTTTAATATAAAGAAAGTGGTATGGTTATGACTTCACCCGACGATTATATTTGCATTTATTGGTCACAAGCATAGTGATTCGTCACGCTTTCGGAACTTAAGGCTTAGTTAAAAAATTGGTTTTTCTAAAGAATCAAATAGTATTTTCACTCGTTGACGACCGTTCATTCGACCGCTAACAGACCTCATCTGTCCAGCTCTGCCAAGGGTCTATGCTGACGACGTCTAATAAGCCAGAAATGGCCATCTCAGTCTCCCTTGCCTTCACCGGCCCTACTGTCTGCCTAAACTACCAGCTGCTGCGGCTGCCAGAGCGGGACAGATGAGTTCCGATATCGGTCGGATGAATATCAATATCCCCCGACCTAACCCGGCAAGATAACGAGCTCCTGGCTCAGTGGTTAGGGCGTTTGACTCTCATCAAAGAGGTCACGAGTTCAAGGCTGGGGTGGGACGCCACTTGCGTCTGGTTGTGACTGGCTGACGACGGCTAATAAGCCAGAAATGGCCATTCCAGTCTCCTGTGTCTTTGTCGGCAACATGGTCTGAATAGTCTAATAACTAATATTTTATATTTCTTTCAAGTTATACATTTGCTGAAAGTTGCTCATTATTTTTTCACATTTACCGTCTATGCGTTAATATCATTTTGCTAGTGAGCATTAGTCTTTTCAGACTTCGGTATTTTATATGAGTCAGGGCCCATATCGTATGTGCCATTTGGAGCTTTCTCCGTTCCCCGAAAGGTAGGAAAAGTAAGTCCCCCTAATAAACAGTCAAATTATTACTTTAACACAAGCAGCATTCTCGCATCTTGATGTGCAATCATGCCCAAAGTAAAGCATTCACGGTGACTTAATATGTGCGATCGATTACAGTACAGCTTGGGACTGCGGGATCTTAGTACTTCATGACAATCGGTTGGGGATTTAAGTTTTCACAAGTCTTCAAAATTCAAGTTTTCGGTCTGACGGAATACCCTGAAAATATGTTATTTACATTCTCTTAATCACTCTGAACCCTAATGAAAAGGGTTAACTAAAAAGGGAATTTTATTCTGTAGTCGTTCTTTTGCATTGCGATGGGAGCCACTCCATAATCCGATTTATCCTCGCCCGGGACACGAGAAGTCGTAGCCATAATCGCCCTATGCAAGCTTGTGGCTCAGAAAATAATATGGTGGGTTAAAACTTGCTCAGTTTTGGAAAACATAAGTTTCCAACCCAAAATTGCGAGCTAACGGATCAAAACCAAAATTTCGAACTGGTCGGATCACCGGACATCACCTTTCGTAAATGAAGTCCCACAGGAGAATGACTTTTATTGACTTCACGTGCCTCGAATTTAGCAAATAAATAGTTCTTGTTACAAGCAGATACATGCTGTTCAGATGAGTAGACCGCGGTACTAGTGGATAGTTTATGGAGCTTACAGTAAACAGCACCAGTTCCAGCAGTTGCGTCCATTTATTTACATTGGTATTTATTTACGCATGACGACCACTTAACGTTTGTTTGACGCTGCCTCATAACGAAAAAATTGCCAGGCCGACCTTTGGCTTTAGAATACGAAAATATAATGCTAGAATCTAAATAATTTGCAAATTACGATGTTGGCCACTAGCAGAGTTCTTGGCAATCAGCATTTTGGTTAAAAGGTAGGTGAAAGAACCCCGGTGTGAATACTACAGGGATAAAGATAGTTTTACCGAAGGCTACTGAAACCATACCCATCAGTCATTCGAAAATATATTCTAACAGCAAGGATTGGCTGGAACCTATCGGTGGACCATAATGTTCAGGGACGTTTGCGGTAGACTAAGGGAATAGGAGCCCCCTTTTATACAGATGGCTTTGAGTTAAATTTAAGAGACATTAAGGTCAAAGTTAAGGAGAATAATAGGGTTAGGACAGGGGTGTTTATGCCCTTTCTAGAATTTAAAGTATAACAGGAGGGGTGTTGCTATTTACACGTATTGCCACTCTTGCTTTCCATATGTGCGTTAACGTAGTAGTAGCACTTTTCCTCTACCATGTCCTGTTTAATATTATACAGTTACTGGTTGAGTTAGTATTTGGAGAAATTGTGATTTTTATTGCCTGTTAGGCACTCACAGGTAAATGAAGGGAAGTTGTGAAGAGACAATTTCATTAAACGGGCAATCACGGCATTGCTGTCGGAGAGGATTTCATCCAATCTAAAAGTGCAAGAAAAGTCGTTCTGCAGTTCACAAAAGTTAGGCTGGAGGACGAACTAAACGGGTACTCTGCGCGTTCAAATCG